AGTTAAATACTTACCCGAATGGTTACTGAACGGTGTTGTTCAGCATTTACCCTGCATGTTTGGATGAGATCGTCACCGGATTTGGCGTTAATGGATACTTCGTGTTCACCCTCAATCACTGCGCCTTCCGAACGAGCTATAAATCAAAGAAAGCAGCTTTCAAAACATACGTCTAAGTTTCACGGTAGAAGTTTACATCAAATAATAGCTTAATCATACTGATTATAGGAACGTCATTCAAATTCCTTCTTCATCAGTTGTTCTTTATGCCAAGCGGGGATTATCACTATGTGGGTAATTGCGGCCTGCGCTTGAATCGAATTATAGTGGTAGGGGGATTTTGTGTACCTTCGGCTCCACTAGGTCCTCTCGGCCTTCCTACCTTCATTCTTTTCTTGCCATACCTGAGACAGACCACCGGACTCGGGCTCAGTAGTTGTGCAGGAATTGCGCGCCGCCTTACGTGCGTCAAATACCTGCTGGTTCCGGTCAGTCTAAGAGCCAGAGACCCAGATCATAATCTGAACAACCCTTCGCCAAGGAGTAGAAACCCAAGAGGCACATTCGATGCCACCGGAAGGCCAATGGTTCTAACGCCTGGTGGAAGACAGCCCTGTGACAACCGGTATTATTAGGCAGATGATATTGCCGGCAAAGACAAGGAAGGCTAGAATGGCCATCCCTGGCTTATTAGCCGTCGTCAGCTAGTCATACTCAGACCTAACTAGTGTCCCACCCGAGCCTCGAACTCGTGACCTCTTTGGTCAGAGTCAAACGCCCTAACCATTTAGCCAAGAGCGCCTCGCCTCACCGGTTTATGTCAGGGTATATTGACACTCGTTGATTAACGCTCACCTGATCGCTAATGGAACGCATCTTTCCCGCTCTGCTTTGGACCTCGAAAGGGGCTCTGACAGCCGGCAAGATTATCTGCCTGCTATTGCCAGCTGTTACGGCTGCTAAAAGCTTGCTCTAGGACTCACGGTGGACCTCATTGGATACGACGCTCAAACTGTCCTCTCATCCGACGCTGGAGTTTTCCTCACCGCCCGGTTCCTTTTTAAAAATCTCTATCTTTCACATAAACTGCCCTCCCCCTTCCGTGGACATCATGTGAGCTATCGTGTATTTTACACTAGTCGAATTCCTTGCGATCTCAGCTAAGATATGGAGGGCTTTTGGCACAATGGTTGGTTCCCCATCGCTGTGGTCAGAGTGATCCACAAATTAATTTCTTATCTAGTCTCATTCGGGAACTTTAGCGAGAAGAGGGTTCTGGCTTGGCCGAATTATAATTGATTTGGCAGTTTATTCAGAAGGTAGTATTGTTTTAAGAAGTTTGATTTAGTGGATGCGTAAAACGAAATACCAAATCAACTGGATTTTGTCCATATTTTGCCTCTACTTTAATGACAACGCCAGTATCTCAAAAGCGTGTCAGTGGGCCATTCAAAAAGTAGCATATGGCTCAAAGTCAATTTGAAATGTAAGTACTTCCCTTGAAGTCGATCATACCGGTCTTTGTAAAGACAACTGTTCCATCTTTCTTATCACCGTAGTCATTACTCATTCGACTGAGATGTTGTTGGAGGTGTATGGTTGAAAAATTTGATTAACTGTCTCTATAGGCAGCGCCATAAGCTAGTATTAAAAATATTTCTCATCAAAGCTGGTACGCCAACAAATATGATTTGGAGTGAGAGGATGTCCTAGTTGTGCTTATTCAATCTATTTTAAGCTTCATATAAGAATAGTATCGAATCACAATGACGACTACGACGAC